TTCATTTAATTAAATAATTTTAAATATAAGCTTATATAGAAAAAATATAAAATTTATCAAACAATTTACTTCTAAAATAAAGTACTAGCTGAAATTTCAAATGATTGCATCAAACATTTCATACTATATATAGAAAAATTTTAAAATTGTTATATCATTTAAATATGTAGAAGTGTATGAGTCAGCAATTTGAATATATTATTATATATTTTTAAATACTCTACAGATTAGAGCTAAAACTTTTTAAAGTTTATTACCCTATAATAATTANCCTTCAAAAAATGATAATTCAAGACATCCAAATTTTTTTAATCTTAACCTTTCAACAGTGGGATAAGGTATGGTACTATCCCAAAGTAGTGAAGAATAAACGTGGGAAATTTTTAAAGTATTTTTCCATGCATTTTTTTCTCATTGCCGTTTTCGGAAAAAGATTTTGTAAACAGTTATGTCTAGCAAAGAAAAGTCTTTTTTTATTGTTACATAATTCATTTTTTTATGTGAATTTTTTTCACGGTAGTTTTTGGCAATACCCCCAAAAGAATTTAACAGATATATCCGTCCCTCAACACTGCCACACGATCGCCCTGGACATATATATCCATCCCTCATTGTTGAGTGGTTAACTAACACATGATTCACAGCTGAATATCAAATAGTAATTGGCTAACAAAATCAAATTTCATCAAAATTGGACCGAATATTTAAAAACTTGATACCCTTAAAAACCATTTAACATATTTTGTGCACATTGGTGACTATATATTTAGTCATTTTCCTATTCGAATGCCATCATTACCATTCTGCTGCTCGGATAGAAAGAAAGACTGTTGCAGGGGAAGGGGACTGAAGTTAACTCGTCCAACAGTAGTAGTTGACCATCTCCCAAAATTGAGAGGACGGTTCCTATAAACTTTCATTGCATTTACTCAAACTGTTGAAATATATAAACTGAACTAGCAAACTTTATACTTGTTCAGATACTTTTATATTTGGAAGACAAAAAATAATGTGATATATCCAGTGGCGTACTGTAGTGGGGGCGGCACTTTTTAGGGGGCGGCAAAATTACCTTTTAGGGGTCGGCAAAATTTCACAATAAATAATAATAATATCTTGTAAAAATTTGAAACATCCTAATCTATACTTGCATCGCGCCTACGATAGTACTATCGTTCTGTAGACTTTTTTTTTTGTTGTACGATAGAACTATTTTAAACAGGTCGCTGCACTACCACCGAATTTTTCATTGATTGTTCTGTGAAAAAACTGAATTTTGGTCTTTTATATAAAGGGGGGGCGAAATTTTCCTCCGCCCCGGGCAGCTGACACCCACGGTACACCACTGGATATATCCAAATGAGTGGTATAACAAAGAGGTATATTGTATTATTATATTGAAGACAATAAATTTAATGTAATTTCATATAGAACATTGATTTCAAGATCTTGCTATCAAAATGTATAAAAATTTTTTTAACATGAAAAATCATGCATATTTCAAAGATATTTATTCAACATAATAAAGTTTTGCTTTTATGTTTAATAATGTGATTTACAGATTTATTAATGATGTTTTGTCAAAATTGTTCAGAGATGAAAAATTGATGATATTTTTGCTTTCATATATAGTTAGAATCTTAAATATCAGTATTTCCAAGTTTTTAAGAAACAATGATCTTAAATATTAGTAATATGAAAAATGAATATTTAGAATTTTCATACTTGTAGGAAAGTTCTTTGGCTGAGAAATTTACCAAAGAACTTTCCTATAGATTTTAAATTTTAATTTTAAACTTTTTTATTTATAATTATAATTAATAAGTTTAAAAGTAATTTACAATTTATTATTATGCATTATTTTGAAAATGGAACAGTAACATTTTACAAGCTTATTTCATTTCAGAAATGTTAAACATATGTAAGATTATCTCTGTATACACAAATAAATATATTTATTTATTTTTAATTTCATTGATTTAATCTGTTTTAAACTTAAAGGCAACTCAAATTTGCATTAACAGAGATTGTTATTTTATAATTTAATACTGTACTGTATTAGAAATCTTTTTATAATAAATAAATATATATATCTTTTATGGATAATATGTTTGCTATTCATTGTCAAATAATTCTAAATATGGTTGAGTCCACTTAAAAGAGTATCCTTGGGATCATTGTTGCATCATGTTCCCTTATCCAAAGTAACAAGATCACCCAGAGAGTTATTCATGGTATTNAGATATTTATCTTAATTATGAAAATATACTAGCATGTTTTTTAATTTTTGGAACCTAACCCTCCTTTTCGTATTAGTTCTTTGTTTCGTATAACACGGATTCGCATAACACGGCAATTTTTTGGAACGTAACTACCGTGTTATATGGGGTTACCTGTATTTCAAATCCAAGTTTGAAAAACAAAATAAAATTGAGTCTAAAACTATTTTAAATACTTGGTATTCTTCATTTTGTCGATTTGTTTTTACAAAAGACATTGATGGATCTATGAGTTATTTATTGCATTATTTTGGTGAGAAAAACTGTTTAATTTTAAATTTCATTCAATATGTTTGGTTGAGAAGACATAAAATATAATATTTATTTATAATAATATGTCCTAATCGTCTTAAATATCAATGATAAATATTCAAAACAATTAAAATGTAAGGCTCCACAGATCATCCACAAAGTTTCATATTTATAAGAAGGGTTATTTCTCAGTAGAACATGCTGGTTTGCTGTATGTTGGTAGCTTCAATAGCCAATACATGGTACTGAGAATTGCTTAGTAAAAGCAATTCTATATACATTTCATTCACCAATGGTAATTTTTTTAGAAAAAGAGCACTGTTTATAAGAAAACAATTACTTAAAAGAATAGTTTCATCAACTAAAAAAACTACATCATTAAATTTTTTAAAATTGAAACTAACAAAAAATATTTTTTGTGCACGTGTATTAATTTAACACTCTTGCACTAAAGTTGGCTCACATCATCACTCCTAACATGTTTTATTTGAATTGGGAATGAAATGATATATAGTTTCAATTTAATATCTTGTGATGAATAAGAACTGGAAGACAATTGAAACTATCATTTTAATGTCTCAAAAAAAGATGTTTGCAATGATGATATGAATTAACATTAGATTTGAAAAATTTATGCAGCTAATGATGATTCAATCTTCCAAAAGTATCACATCAATCTTTCAATATATATTTGTAAATAAAAAAAGTCTGTCTGAATGGTCTTTAAAATATCAATCTAATAGAACTACCAGTAATTTTGTTATAAATTTATTATTTGAGACATCAAGCAATGATTTTGTAATAAAGTATTCTGTTAGTTTCAATTAGTTTCACTGACTACTGTACAATTTGAAATATCTCAACAACAGTAAAAAGTTATCTCAATATACTTTGTAAGTTCTATTTCAAGATTTACTAGAAAGAAAATTTACTTAGACTATATATATATAAACATATGGCAAAATGCTTATTGAAATATTGCATTCAGCAATATTTTTAGTGTATTTATTTAATACAATAAATGACATGTATAAGTAATTATAATAATCAATTTGAGCTTAAATTACCATTAATATAATTTTTTCATTTTGTTACTGTAGAATTACTTAGTAAATAATGAGTATTTTGTAAAAATTAAATCAAATATTAAATTAAGTTCATTATTGTGATTATTCAATAATATAGATTTTTCAAAACATCTGAGAAATAGATACTATTAATCATTCATTCATATAAAACCTGTCTATCTGGCAAAAACAGGTTTTATAGAGTATTGAATTTAAATTAGAAGTTCATTCATTCAGTATATATTAATTATTTGAATTATTATACATAAATGTTCAATTCTGAGATGGCTATTTAGATAGCCAAAAACATTTGATGAATAAAAAATTATTGCTGGAACAGGCTAGAACTTTTTAGATGAATTATTATAGCTGTATTTAATGTTTGAATTGTTTAATAAGTTACATGTATTTAATTGACTTTAGTGGTTCTGGTAAATTTTATTCTGATCTTGTCTAAATCAATATTTTACATAAATTAATTTGGTAACAAAAAATTTGTTTTGTTTGAAATCAAGATACAGTTTTAATAAAATAATGTTTTATATTGTTTTGCCATTGCTCGTACTGTTACTTATAAATTTCTTAATTTTTACTAAAATAAATATCATTTAATGTAAATACAAATATTCACCCAAATGTTCAGTATTATATAAGTATAATAATTGAGTACAAAAAATGACATGTATTACATGTCATTTTTTGTAATGCACCATTTTACCATAATTTGATTCTATATGTTTTTATTTAGTTGTTATATAATAAATATAAATTTAAAATTTGTATTGATGCTATTGCTGCTGCATTTTATAGTGTATCTTACTTTATAGTATTCTCTATAATGTATCTCCTAAATTGATATTTTATGTAAAAAAGATGAATGGAATGATTTATATTGCTATGTCAGAGCTAATCCCATTTTACAAATACTTTTACAATCTTGATTGTTGAGACTTTAAAAATTCTTATCTCATACTTTCTTTGCAGGCTTCATCAGTTAATCAAAAATTCTGAAATAATTTTTTTTATAATTTTCTTTTGCTTTTATAGTAATGTGTAAAAATATAAAAATTAATAAATGACAATGAAGAAAGAGATCAGGAAATAGCAATAGTTTAAAATAAAATTAAATATCAGACAAGTATAATTAACTTAGTTGTATCTAATATAAAAAGTTAGTAGAAACATAAATTTTCTAGTAGTTGAAAGTTTGTTTTATTTTATCTTCATTTTGTTTTTGAAACCATATTTAACTATCAAAATAATAGAATATTTTATATTTTTAAGGTAGAGAAATAAATATTTTATAAAGTACATAAAATTTGACTAATGGATTTTAAAAGTAATAATAATACATTTATTTTCATATTTAAAATTATATTTGCTTTTATGTTTATTTTTTTAGAAAATAACTGCCAACATATTCGTCACGGAAAGAAAGATGCACGTCTCAAAGAAGAGAAGTATAAAGGTGAATTTGTATAAAAACAAATCATTTTAAATACATCATTGAATTTTTATATAATAATTTGTAATAAGTTTTCTAATTAATCTAATCATAATTATCAAAATTTAATTATTTTCATAGAAAATTTAACATTTACTGTTAAGCATATCACCATCTGTTGAAAATTTGTTTAACCATATTTATTTAATTAACTCAGTTATAACTTTCAATGATTTTTTAGCAATTAGGCTACCTAATTAATTTTGAACTATTACATTTTTACTTAATTATCCTTTGAAAATTCAAAATATTCAATAACTGCTAAAAAACCTAACAAAGCTCAGTTAATGTAAATTTTATGCTTAAGCTTAAACTTGTTTTCTATTATTATAAGAATAAAATGACTAATTGTTACTTTGGGAGCCTTCATAGCATTAAGAGTAGCAGATGAAGGACACTTAGAACAGATAAAATCTGTATAAAGAGTTTTGCCCATATGTTTTTGCAGTCAAAAATTATAAAAATAAACATATGAAATTTCATTTTTATTTATACTTTTCAGGATAAGGTTTCTTTCCTACCTAAAAACAAACTGTACTATTTGTCAATAAAAGTTTATATCTCAATAAGCATATTTTTCAGACTTTCTTTCTATATAATGTTCTTGATATGACATACTATACAGAAACAATTTCATATTGAAATATACACAAGCTTTTCCTGCTTAACATCAGTGATTTGTTTTTTCAAATCAGATGCTCTACAGAAAAATGTTAACCAGGGGCCTATTTCCCATTATTTTAAATAGGAAAAAGTATAATGTATGTCAACCCAAAACTTTCAACTAATTTCCAAAAACAACTAAAACACAATACAGTGCCTAAAAATAAGTTGCAAACTATCATATTAGAGTATAAAATGTTTAATAGATCATTTTCTGATCACCAAACCTTAATGTAGTTGCTAATAAATAGTTTTTTTGTATGCAGTAACATATATAGTCTGCATACTGTACTACAAGTATCATGTTAACAGCAAAGCAAATAATACACAATAATAAAGAGATATCTTGTAAATTTTTGTTTGCATTATTTAAAGTAAAAAAAATAAGGAATAAATTGCAACACATTCTTAACAGTGTCTCTGACACAAGTTAGAGAATTGATTGTGTACTTTTAGTGATGTCACAAAAGTGTTTAGGCTTTCTGCTGTAGGAAGTGCTTGTATGTTATGATGCTTATTCAAGTGCCATATATATATATATATATTGCACTTGAATAAGCATCATAACATACAAGCACTTCCTATATATATATATATATATATATATATATTCAATATGCATATTCTATTTCTTGACACCTTTATTTGCATGTAATTCTAACATTCTAATCAGTTGTATTTGGAATGTAATTTGAGAATTTTCCATATATTTTTTTGTTAAAGATATAATGGATTTTTTGGAACACAAATGTAAATTTTTCTTATACAAATACACCATTGAATTTTCAGCACCCTTGGTTCCAAAGCCTTGCTGGATTAGCCATTTTTCCTGATCAACCATGGCCATGTATCAATATAATAATAATTCATCAACATACCTCTAACCCACTAATTTTACATCTCCCATGTGTCTAAAGTATACCATGGAGTGAAAAGAACTTAATTTAAATGAATATTAAATGTAAATTAAATAAACAAATAAATGAGTACAGGTACTTGCACATTAATACATCAACACTCTTTTCTTCTTTATATTATAAACAGTTGATGAACCAATTCCATATATGTTACACAGCTTATGCACCAATATACCATGGTCCATTTTTTCAATAGTTTTATTTTATCTTGGATCAATATTGATTAGTGTTTGTTTGACACCACCACTAACACTCTCATCTCTTTTAAAAGTCATAACTATGGTTAAATTTAAGCAATATAAACTAAGAACAGAGCCAGCCTTATCATAGGGTGAACAGAGTAGCTGCTCCAGGCACTAAGTCCTAGGGAGTGCCTCAGTGGTAAAGAAAATTAAAGGAAAAAATATTTTTTTCACTTTTTGATATTTTAATTGCAAGCGTATGTGAATTGGCCAGTATGTGAATGGCCTTATCTGTTGAGATGCGCGTGGGTCGAGTGCGTGGGCGAGGTTCCACCCCCAGGTGCCATAACAGGATCGCGCTCCATCCTAAAACTTGCCTCGGGCTGGCACTGACTAAGAATATCACAAAATTGCAATATCACCACCAATAAGTGCATTATACATAATGTAAATAAGCATTCTGTATATGTAACATTATCTGTGGCCACCCAATAAACTAATCTGGTAGCCATAGAAATTTCAAGTTCCTTCTTGTAATATTGTCTGGATTAAAAGAGGTGCTGGACCATCATTTGCCAGAAATTAGACATTGTCTCTTACACTGGCCAATTGCATTAACTGCCAGACTGACTTGGCCATTTTCTCATTTGTAACAGTTGTGATGAAATTGTTCTTCAATGATGTAACTGTATTTTTTAATTTATATAAACCTTGGAGAAAAACATTATATTGAGAGAGACACATGTTCTTTGAAGTTTAGGATCTAAAAGATGTTCTGTAAGTGAGATGTTAAACAGAGGATGCTTGTTTGTAACAATTAATGATGAATGAAGCTGTATGATAAGACATTGTGTTTCTTTACAGCAAATAGATTTGCCATATTAATCATGTACTCTGAAACAATTACAGTGTGTAGATAATGAAAACAAACAAAAACGAACATTTTCTAACTCCTTCTGCGTTCTTCCTCAGGTTTTTAACAATTCCTTGATGGCTCTTCATTTTGGAATAAAATTCAAACAAGAGTTTGAATATGAGTTGGAAAAAATTATTAAAGCCACATCATGCATGTGCAAGGAGTTGCCCTACCAGGACTGTGTTGTCAATCAACTCAGTTTAGCCATTGATTGACAACACAGCTAAACAGAGTTGTCAAACCAGAGTACATGATTAACTATATCCCAGTGTGATGATGGTTATTTGCCACATTAATTCTATATATTTATGATTATATATAGATAATAACAAATGTTTCAGAAATTATAAAAATATACATCAATATTAAATATATTTATTATTTTGTATTATTTTAAATATAGATGATAACAACATATACAAGTAATTGATACAAATAATGTATTAATATAACTTTGTCATTTTAATTTTAAGCATGATTTCTTTTATAACAATGATTTGATCTTTAATTTCAAATTAATACATTTTTTATTTTGAGAAATTAAAATAATTTTATATGAAATTAATTAGTTACATCAAAATAATTATAACTTAATTAGGATAGCTGCATTAAAATGTTTGGTATAACTCTTTAAACACGAGATTGGCAAAATTGCATTCATCTGTTTGAGATGAAATTTGCTGAATGCAAAGCTGTTTGACTGGTTTTGTTTTACAAATTACCCACCACTAAAGGCTAACCTGACGAGTAAAAAACCTTATATCCAGATATATAGGAAAAAGAAATTTTCAGAGTTTAAAGAGTTAAAACATTAACTGATATTTGTATAATCTGAAGATAAGTTTGCTAAAGTTCTAGTAATTAAATATTAACAATATATAAAATTTTAAAAAAATGCTTTTTAGATTTCTGTTTTAAAGAAATTTAAAAAGATTTCATTTAAAAAATTTTTGTTTTTTTTTGCATATTTTTTAAATTTCTAAATTATATAAATTTTTGTATTAATAAATAAATATTAATATTTATAGGTATATATAATCAAATTTCCTCCTCACCACATGCTTGTGAAGAATCTAGTTGTTATCCAGCTACTGGGAATCTGTTGATTGGAAGAGAAGATAAGCTTCGAGCAACGTCAACATGTGGTCTAACAGAGATTAAAAGATATTGTATAGTGAGTCACTTACAAGAGAAAAAGAAATGTTTCTATTGTGATTCTCGACCTCACCAGAAAAATAATACAAAGTTGTATCATGGTATAGAAAATATTGTATCAAGGTATAAAAAAAAAAGTATTATTTTAGAACATATAAAATAATAATATAAATTAAATATTAAAATAAAATGATACAACTGATATAAATGATAAAAGTGAAGTATCAATTTATTATTTATTAAGTAATTTATATTATTTGTATAAATTATTTAATAGAGATAATGATTTTTTTAAATAAATAATTTTTGAAACTATATTTTAAATGTTGACTAAGACAATTATGTTTTTCCTTCAGAAAGGAAAAAAATTTTTTTTAATTATGACATTCAACATGAAAATTAAAAATTTTTATTACTTTATTTAATAATTTTTAAAAATAAATTATGAAAGTATTTTAATTTTGAATTTTTATATTTCTTTATCTTAAATCTTTCATGAAATTGGTAACATTATACTAATTTATTGCAAAAAAAAAAAAAAAAAAGTTAAAATTTGTAAAAAGAAGTTGCAAAATATATAACTATACCTGATCAACTATATTTTAGAAGTATGTGCTAAGTAGTTATAGTAGAGAAGATATTAGCTGAAGAGAGAATAGAGTTGTGAGGACAATCTCAAAACGAATCGGGATAAACACAGCGAAGAAATTAAGTTAGAAATTAAATTTATATATATATATACATATATATATATACAGTCTAGNTATTAAACTTTAATTATAATAAAATTATTATAAATGATAATGCCGCAATAGCAATTAAAGAAAATATTTGATTAAAAAGATGATAATATTTTAAATCCTTTATCTTTCAATGGATATAAAGACAAAGGTATGTTTCAGTTAAATTTAAATTTTTTTAAATGTTATTTGTAACAGAATAAGAATTTTTGGTATTTATTGAAAACTTCAAAGCAAAAATAAAAAAACTCTTAAGATTCATCATACAAACTTAATTGAATGCTTTTGGTTATTTTACATGGCCATCTTTATATTCTGGAACAGAATTGTTTAAATACATACTGAAGATGGCTATTTAAAATGGTTGAAAACATTTGATCAATTTAAATTTATATGCTGGATCTTAAGATTTTTTACTTTGATTATTTTAATTTTATTTCATCCAGTTTACTTCTTTTTCTTATTATTTATGAAATAAAATATAAATTAAATAAAACTAAATACCGTTATCTAAATTAGCATTCAGAAGAATGTTACTACTTTCGATTATATATTTAGAATTTAAAAATAAGTTTTTAAATTTTTCTGTAAAGTTTAGATTCAAGTTTGTTTGTTTATTTTTATTTATTACTTCATCACATTCTGTATTTCTGTTATCTTATAAATGTGTATTATTCTATTCATTAACAATCAATAATTGTTTGTTTTAAATAAAATGGATATAAAAGAAAAATATTAATTATATTAAGGAAAGTAGTAATTTTTAACTTTTAAAATTGAAGAAACTGTTAACTGAATATATAAATAATCAGTATAGAAATATATATAAATAAATAAACTTTTATTTTTTGGAATGCATTTTTACATTATTTTAGTCATGAACTGAGTTAATTACATTAAATTAATTAACTCTGATCAATATTAATCAATAGATCAATTAATATTGATAAAAGTTAATTCTTTATTTTATTTTAAAAATAGTAATTTTAAATTATAAATTTTATATCTAAATTTTAATAAAACTGAAGTAATTAAATAATTTCTAGTAAGAATATTAAAAAGAGATTATTCGAGAAATTTGTTATACTTATAGTTTAGAAAAATTTTGAATAAAGAACAGTTTAGGTAGTGTACTTTGATTCATACTGAAAGAATTATTGACAGATATTAAATACTGTCAAGCCTCTAATAATGTCTTCCGACAATGGCTCTTCTAAACAGAGGACATTTTTTCAGGAACTTTTGTATGTCTTCTTGTTAAAAAAAAAACAAATACTGTAATAGTAATCTTTGAACAATGGCCATTTTATGCTCTCATCAGTGGCTGTTGTTCAGAGGTTTGACTGTGTTTATAAACTACTTATATTGATGTAATGAATTTTTATTTCCAAACAGTTTACACTGATTTTTATTTATCTTCAAAATTTTATAAAAAAGTTTGGCTTTTAAAACAAATTGAAGTCAGTTCTTCTAGATTTTATGGATGTAAATTTGAATCAAAATTGATTTGAAAAATATTTTGACATAAAAATGCATTAGTTCTATATAAATAATTTATGAATATTTGATTATTCCTCAATAATTAGTATGTGTATATTTTTTATCTTTAAGTAACAATTTTCTAATATAAAGTAAAAATATTCTTATTTAATTTCTTTTGAATATATAATGGATTGATAAATTTCATAAAAATAATACACTTTTTTAATTTATAGAATTGGAAAAAAGAGGAAAACTTGGTGGCAATCTGAAAATGGTGTTGAAAATGTGGCAATTCAATTGGATTTGGAAGCAGAATTTCATTTTACTCACTTAATTATAACTTTTAAGACTTTCCGTCCTGCAGCCATGTTAATAGAACGTTCTCATGATTTTGGTATTTCTTGGAAGGTTAGAATATTAATATTTGAAATTTAACTTTCAAATAAATTTTGATTATAAATAAATAATTTTAATTTCAACAAAAAATTCATATGCAGTGACATATCTAATACATTAGTAAATTTAATGGCAATTTTTTTGTCTGTTATGCAAATTATATGTAATTTTAATCACTAATGTATGGGAATATCATCATTCACTGTAATTTTATATTATTAATAATTGTTTTACTTATTTACTGTATAGATATTTTAATATTGAAAGTTGGATAAATAATATGAATATATTAGTCACATTTATAGTATAGCATATATATAATTAATTAAAGCCAAATGATTGCCAGATTAAATCAGACTACATTACTGCTACTATTAATAAATTAATATTGAGTAATTTAGAGATAGATATTAGGTGCCATCTCTTATTAAATTTAATTATGATTATAATTATAATTAAATTAATATTAATATAAAATACATTTAATTATATTATTAAATTTAATAAGAGATTGCATCTAATGCCTACTCTAGTGCCAAATTACTCAATATTTAATCATTAATAGTAGTGGCTATGTAGCTTGATTTAATCTGGCAATCATTTGTCTTTAATAATTATGATTATTATTAAAATATTAAAGCTTGATAATTATATTAAAATAATTATCAAGCTTTGAGATGTTTATACATGTATATGTTACCACTAAAGCTCGAAAGCCATTAATGTGTACATTACCCAGCTAATTTCCTGATTAACTAGAGTGATCCGTTAACGTGCGGAATCAAGAGTTTTCTGCATTTTACCTAGGGAATCTGCAAATTAACAGCTTCTGTATCGTTAAAGTTTAAAAGTTTGTTTCTCTCATTTCCTTTCCCTACTACTTCCCGAACAAGACAAAGCAAAAACTGATGCATGCTCAATTTTAACTGTGGTTCTTAGTAAAACAGACAATGGCTTTTATAAACTTGGTACTCAAACGGGTGTTTTAAATCAATTGATTGCAAAATCTGAATTCACTGTTTGCGAAGAGAGATTTTTAATGAAAGATGTCCTTACTGTAGAAATATGTTTGTCAAACAGCAATAAAACAATCCCTTGGTACTGAGCAGGGTTTCAGAAAATGTGACTACAAATCTATGTGTACCACAAATAGGTGTGCTTGTCGCGAAAACTGATTGCTACGTAATTCAAAGTGTCACCAATTTTTAGATTGCACTAATAAGTAAGCACAATTTTATCATATGTTTTGCAAATTCATTTCCCTAATTATAATAATATTTTAAACCGTTTGATTTTTATATTACAGTTTTTTAATTGATTGATGATTGATTCTATCAAATAATTTGTCAATTGTGTGATTGTATTAACTTGATTCTTTAGATATTGAAAATTAATTAAATAACATTATGTTAATTTAAGCATTCGAAAACATTGCTGTTGTTGCTGTTTACTGAGTGCCTAGTAGGTAATGTGCACATTACCTAGATCATCTGCACATTACCTAGGTAATTTGAGAAATGGAACAATTTTTGAAACTTTAACAGATCACCCTAGTTAATCTGGGGATTAGCTGGGTAATGCACACATTAATGGCTTTTGAGCTTCAGCGGTAACATATATATTTTAAAAGATTACATGTGTTTTAAATACTTTGAAATAATTCACAAAAAATAAATATTTCTAAATGAAATAAGTGCAGTTTTTTGCATTTAGTACTGAATTTTAAATTGTGCAACAATTTAAAATTCAGTACTAAACACAATATGCACTCAACATAATACAATCAGCAACTCAGAGTGCCAATTGGCGAGCGTATGTCGGATGATCACTTTTCAACGTATTATTATCACTTTGCCCGACTAAGTGATAGCAGTATTCATAATGACCAGTCAATTTGATAAATTGATGAATATTTATCATACTGCATGCCCTTTTTGGTCATTATTCATAATGCCCAATTAATCNCTATAGTTAGTAGAATGACTGACTATAAATTTAAAATACTTTTAATTAATAAAGATAAAATTACTGATTTTTATAATAAAAATTTCTGCTTTATTATTATTATTTATTTTTTCATTAAATATATTATTGTTTTTTCTTTACATCATACATTATAAAAAAGTCTTATTTGTAGATTTGTTAAAATCAAATATACATTTTATAAAAATCATTCAAATGAAAGGTGGTGACATTTTCTAAGACACTAGACATTTTCTAAGCAGAAAAATGCATAATGCATTTTATGACAAAAAAGCAAATTACACTGGACAACAAAAAAAATGTTTTTGAATGTTTCCTTTATTTCATGAGTGAAATCTTACTAATTTTGGTTTGAGAAAATTGAATATGACAAATAAAAATTTTTATTAGCTCTAGTTTCTGTGGTATACAATAGATGACTTTAACATCATAAGAGAAAGTGATACATTTTAATTACATATGCTAACAACATTGAAAGTGCTTTTTAAATTACAGTAACATTCTAAGAGTTCTAAATTAATAGAATAATACCTGGCAGGTAGTTCGGTGTGAAGAGAATCATGTGGTGACTTCATGAGATCATTTTCTTTTGGCTTGCCTCTTGTAAGTGCGTTCTGATGCATCCCCACACAATACTAAAGGATCAAACTGTGAAGAATGTGAAGACCTTTATAATGATCAAAGATGGCAACCAGCAATTGGGAGACAAACAAATGCTTGTAAAAGTAAGTAATGAATTTGTTTAATAATTCAGTTTTTGTTGAGTTTTGCAATAATTTGATAATTATATAATGCTAAGAGTTTCCTGAGAAAAAATAAACATTTTATTAATGTTAGTATAACATGAAAACAGAATTTTAGAAATATATAGATTAGCTATTTTTTAACTTTCATACATTAATTTAAATTATCTATAAGATTATCATTAATAAACAATAAAATAATTAAGATTTAATAGTAACTTTAAGAAAACTAACAATATGGAGTCTGTTTTCTTTTGTGTAATTGCATGTAGGGGGTATTTGGCATATTCTAAATGATATACAGGAAAACTCATTATTTTGGTTTCAATTAATGTTGTCTTCGAGTTATTGCTGTTACTAATTTGATACTAAAATCCTGATTATTGCTCCAAAAATTCAAGTTATTGAGGTTTTTCACAACAAATGACAGTTTTCATTTAATCTTTTTTTGGATCAAAATATGAAATGTTGGGTTTTTTAAACAATTTTACAGTGTGATATGTTTTGACATTCAATTTAATTTGTTGTTTTTTTACTTAATAATTGTAGAATCTGTTGTGGGCTTGGCTGAATCCACTATAAATGTATAAAAAGACAACGTTTTCTTAATGACCACAGGATGGAGAGTTAAAAAAAAGAATGCTCTAAAATTAAAAAAATGCTCACATAACAATTTAGATAACTAAGTTGTGTTTATTATGCTGTAATGTTTTCTTTTATTAAAATATTTCATTATTCTATCCAATCATATTAGGTTTATCAGTATTATGCGTATGATTGTGCGGAGTCTTTTCCTGGAGTCCCATTTGGACCTCGACAGCATATAAATGATGTTGTATGTGATTCTCATTATTCAAGTGTTGAACCTTCTACTGATGGAGAGGTTTGTATAATTAAAAATTTATTTAAAAATAAAACAATTAGGTATAAATATTCTGTAAACAGTTCGATGATTAATTACTTGATAATACAGTTAAAAATTACTAAATAAGATTTTTTAAATAGACAGTTTCCAATTTAAGTTGAATTAATATACTGCATATATTTATATTAATTTATAAACAATTACATCTTATATTTTTTTCTGTAGGTCATATTTAGAGTACTTCCACCTAACATTCCTGTTGTTGATCCATATAGCATTTCTGTTCAGAATCTTTTAAAAATGACAAATCTTAGGATAAACTTTACAAAGCTACATACACTGGGAGATAACCTTCTAGATTCAAGAGAAGAAATCAAAGAAAAGTATTATTATTCAATATATGATATGATTGTTAGAGGAAGTTGTTCTTGTTATGGACATGCAAGTAGATGTATTGCAGATGAAACTGATCAGTTGCCTCGTACAGATATGGTAATTTAGTTAATTAATACTAAAACAATTTTAATTACAGTAGAACCTGTGCAAAACAGAACCTGAATAAAATGGAAACCTGCCTAAACTGAAAGAAATATTTGGTACCATATTATTCTGGTTTCCACAGGTTTTNAGAATCTGTTGTGGGCTTGGCTGAATCCACTATAAATGTATAAAAAGACAACGTTTTCTTAATGACCACAGGATGGAGAGTTAAAAAAAAGAATGCTCTAAAATTAAAAAAATGCTCACATAACAATTTAGATAACTAAGTTGTGATGACAGATTTTTTCATTAATATATATGGAAATTTTTCAGAAGAATAATTCCTTCTAAGACTAATAATCTAATTTCCATTTTAAGTAGTCTGTTCTAAATAAGAGAACATGATCAATTCATTCAAAACACTTTAATCACACTTGTTATAGTAGCAATGCATTTCAGAATTGAAAACAATTTTTGATTTTATATTTTAATTGTTAATGTTGGTTGTATATATTTAGCCTCGAGGGGATGATTTTTTTCAATCTTGAAATGCATTGCTACTATAACAAGTCTGATTAAAAAAGCATTTTGAACGAATTGATCTTTGTCTCCTGCTTAAAACAGACTACATAAGATGGAACTTAGGTTATTAGTGTGAGAGTAGCCAAGGGTATAAGTAAATTACCTATATCACTTACTGGTGCATGATCGTGTGATCGGCTTTCTAAACTTTCATAGGAGAGCGATAACCGCTAGTTGATCCGAACTGCAAAGTTCAGATGCTTGTCAGGACTGACACCAGTTTGTCAATTTATCGTTGCGCGGACAAACACGTGTTTGCGATCTGATTCGGAATCAATTTAAGAGACATTTAAATAAATTTAACAAGAGTAGATTTAATAATTCAAAAACAAAACGAATACAAATAATTGATGAACGACAATTAAGCTACAAGATATAAGCAAAGACTTATTCTATGCTGATGCGTGATCGAGAGAGAGAGCTCACAAAATCATTCTAAAACATACGACCTGTTTGGTTGTCGTCGTTCGTCTTCATCTGTAGTGGCAGAGGACTCCTTGTAGAAAAAGTTCATTTACTTCTTAACATGGGAGAACGATATGTGCACAAATATAAAAGTATCTTTACTAAGTTTAGATTCGGGACTTAGTCTACGGGACTCGTTTGTGGGCGTGGTCATCAGGAATAAAACTGTGTGGAGTTTGACGCTTAGGATCTGTCGAAGAACTCCTCGAATTCGGACTACATTCCCTTTATATCTCCTGAATTTCGACCAATCATATGCTTGAAATTCATTCATGTGAGCGGATGAAACGGGAACGAATGAGGGGTAACCATTTCCCATCGGAGTGAGATTTTTGACCAGATAAGGGAAAGTCAGAGGATGTTCTCTTCTGTGAAAAGAAGTAGCATCTGTTATCTGGTTTTTTCCCACGTCCAAAACACTAGTTTTTCACAAAATGAAGCAATATTTTGTCGATATTTTATCATCATTAATAAAAATTATTAAATAAGACCCAGGGGCCTTTCGGGTCTCACATTAGTCTTAGAGGAGGTTATTTTTCTGGAACATTTTCACATATGTTTAAAAAAATGCTCTCCAATAAAGAATGCAATAAATGATACATTTGCCAAAATTCTCAGTTTTTGAAAGTGAATAAAAACACTTGAGAATGTTAGATCAAATTGATATTATAACCTTGTCTTGCATGGTATGTGAAGTTTTTTTTGTATCAACAAAACTGATTTGATATTATTATTATTTGATAAATATTTGAGAATTTTGCTGAATCAAGAATGACTGCATTTATGCTATATTCTTTGAATCTTTTTGAGAATTCTTTAAAATCTCTCTTTGAAATATCAAATATTTCATTATGATTAGTAAATTGTATTATATAATCATGCTTTCTGAAGAAGATAGTAATAACAGATGTTTAATATCAGCTGTAAACGTTTTATCAAAGACTTTGTTCTTAAAATAAAATTCACCAACCTTATGTAGGCCTTGCACATAAGTGAGAAATCGTTACTGAGAAAAATCTAACCGAAGAAGGTCAACCATAAGGTTGCTGAATTTAATTTTGATTTATGCCTTGTTATTAGATTAATTTATTAGAATGATCAGGTCTTTGTTCTTACTAAATATTTCTGTTTGATCTACTACATGCAAAAACTTTTTATGACAAATTAATTTAATTCTCTTTTATGCTGGTTTTCAAAATGCTTTTTTGATATTACTTAGAAGGAGAATCTTAAAATTACAAAAGTAAGGCAGAAGTTGAATTGAATACTTCAGATGTGAAATGACTCTTCACTTGTTTGCATTTTTTTCATTATAAACTTCAAAAGAAGAAAAGAACAGAACAATAATAAAACTTATGATATTCTAATAAAATATTTAAAATATTTGTAAGAGAAAAATTACAGCAATAACTTTAATGACAAGGTATCATTAGGATTAGCCTGCCAATGATATAAAAACAGAATAAATAAATATATTAAATTTATTGTTATTTTGTATATTTCAGAATGTAATTGTCATGGACATGCTACTAAATGCCATTTTGATGCAGCTGTTTTTGAAGCAACTGGTAGACTAAGTGGTGGAGTTTGTGATGATTGTCAACATAATACTATGGGTAGACTTTGTGAGCAGTGTAAACCATTTTTCTTTCAAGATCCTGGACGTGATCTGACTGATCCAAATATTTGTCAACGTAGGTAGAAATTTTTACAAATGATTGAATTTCATTAACTTCAGATTATATCTTATCAATTAAAATTTTATACATTTGAAATTATCCTGACTACTTGGTACCATGGAAAATACTTAAAACAGAGTGCATAATTCAGAAATCAAAACTTTTATTTACTAAGAGAAATGCTTTTGTTTTTATAAGAACAGCTTAAGCTCTACATATTACAATCAATTCAAATTAGTTCTGTTCTTAAAAGAATGAAAATGTTTATCTTAGTAAATAAAAGTTTTGGTTCCTTAGTTAAGCATTGTTTTAAGTATTTTATGTTTGTTTCTTTACTTGAAATAAGAAATATTTAAAATTTGGTAATAAATATATCATAACTTTTATAATTTTAAATGGTTGAGAGTTTAACCATTCTGTAATGCTTTAGGACTCTGCTTCTTGAAATATTTCAAGAAAAACGGAATTCAAATTTAGAGATAAATTAATTTTTAATTTAAATTTAGAAAATTTAGAATATTCTAATTATTAAATTTATTTTAAGACTGTGGACTGTCTACATCTAGTCTTGTTGTACATCTAGTCTTGTACATCTAATTATTAAATTAGCATTAAGTATAGCCCAGTAAATAATCTGGAGGATTGTTTGACAATGCTAATTTAATTAGGTTGTTGTATATATTATTCTAAAATATTTAAATGAATTTAAAATTTATTAAATAATTTTTTTAGCTTGTGACTGTGATCCCCGAGGTTCATTAGACGATGGTATTTGCGATTCTCATGTTGATCCAGTGCTTGGACTTACAGCTGGTAGTTGTCACTGTAAAAATAATGTTGAAGGTTGGAGATGTGATCACTGCAAAAATGGATTTTGGAATTTTCAAGCTGACAATCCAGATGGTTGTGAGGGTAAAGTAGGAAGATAGATAAATGATTGTAACAAATAAATATTTTATTTAATTTTTGCATCATGTTTGATATAAAAAATTTATTTTAATAAAGCTTGTACCTGTGATACTCTTGGAACTATTGACAATCAAGGATGTAACGTCTATACTGGTGAATGTGTTTGCAAACGTAATGTTGTAGGAAGAGATTGTAATCAATGTCTAGTAAGTTTTAAGAAAGCTAATTTTAAACTTTATAATTCTATAAATTTTATATTAAGTATTTAAAGATTGATTGAATAGAATCATATTTTAATACATTTTTTAAATAAATAATAATTTTAATTGAAGTTATTTTATTAAATCTAGCATTGATTTGTTTTGTAAGTTAAAACAAACAATTTGAAATAGATAAACTTTATTAAACTTATATTTTTTATCGGATCTATTTTTTAAATTAAAAATACTCTCAGCAAGAAAATTTTACATAACAAATATTTTTAGTTGAACTTATGTAAAATTTTTTCATTAAATATAAAAATTTTTGGAACTATTTCTTATTTAAACAATAGATTCATTGGAAGATATAAGTGTAACAGAGTTTTATCTATTTCAGCAGATCTGCAGAAATAATACTTATTTGAAATATTATTGATACACTTTCAATTTATTTATTTATAATTTTTATAATTAAGAATTTTTGACAGAAAAAATTAATTTCGGAATATGGTATATTTTCACATAGTAAGTATATACTTACCATGTAAAAATATCACTCTGTTCAATAAAATCATTCAAAAATATACAAAATTTAACTGATCTGAATTTATATGACATGATACAGTCAAATCCTTCTATGGCAATATTTAGCAGAACAAAAAAAAATCATTATAGACAGATTTATCAATGTAATGAAAGTTTAAAAAAAAATACTTCCTTCCTCATTTAACACTGTCAGACTGCAAATAGGATCATTTCTACAAAGTTAAACAATGTTGGAACAGAAAAACATGTTTTTTTGTTTTGTTAGTCTCCTATAGTCCAAGATTTAAATGATATTATTACATACAGTATATGTTAAAAATGAAATTCAGTCAGAACCATAATTTTCCTAGTCAAAAATGAACTAAGTAATCTAAAGTAACTCTAAAATATAATTTCTTAAGAAGAATACTTTATTTAATTATTTTAATAAGGGTACTTTTTAACACTAAGACATTTCTATACATTTAGTAACTATACAAGTTTATTCTATACAAATTATTCTATATAAATTATTATAAATATATATATAAATATATATATTAGTAATTACTACAGTATATATTTCATATATTGTAAATACAGACATATGAAATATATACGCGGAAAATTGGCGCAAAATACGACGGTTGCAGGGTTACAGTACAAAAAACAAAACAAAAAAAAAAAAAGAATCCGAGGCGACGATATTTTATTTCCCGATTCGCCACGCCTGATTAAAAAATAATAATAATAATGATGATAAAATTAGCTTAAAAAAGCAAATTCGAATAATAATAATAATAATAATACCT